ATACTCACTTAGACCCTCCTCAAATGGAAGCAATCTCCTTGAACATCAATGGATGCTAAGGATCTCTCCCTCTTATGTTCGTTGTTTCCTTCTCATCCTCCACCTCGACTGCCTACATGTGAGTAGGTATTCACGAACGTGGGTATACCCCCTGACGTGCACCCAAATCCCATATCCACCATGTGAGCATTACTTAGTCCTATAGCTTTCCCCCGTTTCTTTGTACCTAGACGATGGCATTGGTAGCTTTCATTCTTTCTTTTATCCAACATGCCTATCGCGTCACCCGACCGATTTGTACCCTTCCGTGTGCCACTTGGAGACCGTTTCCGAGCCACCAAGCAAGCCCACGAGTTATCACCATCAGAACGACTACACCGCAAAGATGACGCTGCATCCGACGTCTTCTGCTTCACCCCAAAGCGATCCACGCCCGCTTCACCCCGATGGGCATCTCGATCTGACAGCAACCAGCGGCGTGTTGGCACCGTCCTAGGACTACACGGCCTGGAACAACGACAGGTCAGCAGCGGTGCCGTTTGGTCTGTGGGCGGCCTAGCTCCCGGCGGTATTGACGATGGACACGGCCGCCGTGTGAGCTCAGGCACGAACGCTCGCCTCTACAGCACCTCATTTTCGAACACACGTCCCAAATCCGAAGAGGACCAGGATAAGCACGAGGGTCGACTCGCTCTAGCGCTAAAGATAGATCGCGTCCAGCGGATGCTGGATTTTGACGGATATTCCACCTTTCCTCGCTACAAGCACAAAGCGAGACCGTCGCTGCGAGAAGCTAAGACAACATGGACGGGAAGCGAATGGAGTAACCATTACCATGTGCCAAGTGCGCCCGCCGTTCTTACCTGTCAACGGCTTAATGGGACTGATGCAGCCGCAGAAATTCAAAAGGAAGAACGATGTCTTCCTAACGCCCCATTCAAGTTCGTACTTGATAATCCAGACAATCACCCAGCTAGTTCTCGTGTTAACAGCCTTTAGAGTTCTAGACGCCCCCGGTCTTCGAGATGACTTCTATTGTTCAATTATGTCTTATTCTCGGACATGCAACACTTTAGCTGTGGGGTTGGGTAATTTGCTTTACGGATGGTCAGAATCTTCGGGTGTTACGCTTCTAAATACTGGACTCAAGGATGGATCGTGGCTGACTTCTGTGGCATTCTCGTCCGACCAGGGAGGCAAATCAATCTTAGCCTTCGGTCGGTCAAGCGGGTTGCTCTCCTTGGTTTCACTTTTCGACAGTCTACTCCCCCGATTTGAAGCGTATCACCCCGAACCGATAGCTTGCCTCTCCTGGCGTCCTACCACCTCTACCCGACCCTCTCGCAACAGGCGTAACCCGGCTGTGCTGGTCAAGACGGAAGACCTTCTCGTGGGTGATGATATGGGCGATGTCTACTACTACTCGGTTGAGTGGCCCGAGCCCTAGGAAGTGGCTAGGGAAAATTGGCGCGGCGCCATGACTTTGCTCGCTCGCATCAAGGTTCATTCTCAGCAGATATGCGGTCTCGCGTGGTCTCCCGATGGCGAGCAATTCGCCACTGGCGGAAACGACAACTTGTGCTGTCTCTTCAGTGTCGACAGCGTCACGGACGGGGAGCACTGCCCGAACGCAAGCCTGGACAAGCCACAAGCAGCCAACTCCACTGGCAACGAGGAGGAGCTCAATTCTCCAAACGCCGAAGATGAAGGAGCTATTTTCTCGCCCTCTTCCCCAGGGTTGACGTTTGACTGTCCCAGCCCGCTGTCTAATATGAAATGCTTACCAGCTGGCTCTGAGAAACATCGATGGCGCCACGGGGCGGCCGTCAAGGCCATTGCATTCTGTCCTTGGCGGCAGGGGCTGGTTGCCACAGGCGGTGGATCTAACGACAAATGCATTCACTTCTATCACACGAATTCAGGGGCGGCACTCGCTACCATCTCGGTTGCGGCGCAGGTGACGTCTCTGATATGGAGCACGACTCGGCGAGAGATCGCTGCGACCTTTGGATACGCACAACCCGACCACCCGTACCGCATCGCCGTGTTCAGCTGGCCCGATTGCCGGCAGGTGGCTGCCGTGCCGTAGGAGGGTGAACATCGAGCGCTGTATGCCATCGCGTACCCGGGCGGCCCGAGTGATATATACCGAACAAAGGAGAGGCTAAAGAGCCGAACTGCCGAAGAGGGCTGTATCATCGTGGCAAGTAGCGACGAAAGCGTCAAGTTCCATGAAGTCTGGGTGGCAGGTCGCAAAGCTACCACCCTTAGTAGCGGTGTCCTAGCTGGGAGCGACATCTTGGAGATGGGAGAGGGTATCGACAAAGAGGGTGACGTGATTCGCTAAGAAGGGAGGCAACAGCATTATATTGTTCGGTAGTGGATTAAAGAGCCAGATCATGTAGCAATAAGATGACTCATTCCTTTTGAGGAATACGTAAAAGGTATAGGTTCTCGTGCTCTATGTCGTAAGGAATAATAGCCTCCGCCAGGAGCGTTGAGTGTGTAATAGCAACGACTACGATAATATTCTATCATTTCCAAGATGGTTCGATGGCCTGTGGCATAGTCATAAGAGCCTTACACCTGTCGCCATAAACGCTTGATATAGATTACCTATGTCCTAGTAGACACTTTAGTAGGTACATAGACAATAAGTTCTACATGTATTCTTCAACGATTAAGGTATCTGGGCTGCTTGGTCAAGTGACGGTGCGCCGGTGACGAAAGGCTTCACGAAGGAAATTGCTGGCTTATTAATTACATAGGTGAGAAGCTTTGACCATTCTGAAAGAGTTTGTTCCTCAAAGGATGAATCCATGGAGTGGCGTTAATCAATCCACTTTTGGCTTGGTCACGTTCCCCTAAGTTCGGTCACCCTTGCGGATAGCCCCACCTTGTCCCGCCCCGCCAATCTACACTACAGTAGGTACAGGTAGGTGCGCAGGTGCGTAGGTACCTGCGTAGATACCCAAGGCTTGCTAAGCTTATCGGTGACTGTATCTAATCAGTGGCTCAGCCAGTCACTTGAGGATTGCTAGAAGACATGCATTTGGTCATCAAAGCCAAATCACCTGCGCCCAGAAGGTTGCCTTAAAGTTGCTCCTGCTGGTACATACTTTCCCTTTACTCCTCTACCCCCCCCACGCAAACCAGCCGTTGCCTTCTACCTAAACCACAACACCTTCCATCGTCATCACCCGGATTGCTTCATCCTCCCGACTTCTCTTCCAAACCGACCGTCTATTTCTTTCGGCAATCCTACAACACTTCCTAGTTATCGTCGACAACAACCAGGACACATTCATCAAGATGCGATCCAAGTTCAAGGACGAGCACCCCTTCGAGAAGCGCAAGGCCGAGGCTGAGCGCATTCGCCAGAAGTATGCCGACCGTATTCCGGTATGTACTCATCTCCTTGTCCCATCTACCTATCTACCCTCTCCCATTTCTTATCTTCATCGTCTCTCGAGATCACAGCTTGATTTACCGTCATGGTTGATGCCATTTCCGTTTCCATTCCCAATCTCATCCCCATCCATTCCCATCCATCCCCATCCCCATCCCCCACGATCTCACCGCTTTGTTTTGTTTTTCTATTCCAGCACTCCGACTCCTAACCAACCCTGCTATGAATAGGTCATATGCGAGAAGGTCGAGAAATCCGACATTGCTACTATCGACAAGAAGAAGTATCTGGTGCCCGCAGACCTCACAGTAGGCCAGTTCGTCTACGTAATCCGAAAACGCATTAAGCTGTCCCCCGAGAAGGCCATCTTCATTTTTGTCGATGAGGTCCTCCCTCCCACCGCCGCTCTCATGAGCAGCATCTACGAGGAGCACAAGGATGAGGATGGGTATGTCTACCTTCTTTCTAGCTGTCATTATTTGCCTTTGCGAGCTAACAACGCGTCTCTAGGTTTCTCTACATCACTTACTCGGGTGAGAACACGTTCGGCAAGGCTGTTTAAAGCTTTGGCCCTTTTCCCAAATTTCCCCCAACGGCGTTATGGTTTACTCTGGGTTGGACGACAACAATGTGATCATTACTGGCGATGAATTATGGACAGGGCAGACATAGTCATGGCAGATAGTTGATATGAATTGTGTCTTCCCGACTAGTCAGATCACGGGCCTAAAGGCGTAGACGACATCAATCTCTGATTTCGTATCAATATCAGTGTGGCTTCCGCCCACCAAGCCGCTCTTATGCAGATCCCTTCGTAATATGTCTGAAGTCCCTGTCCAATATCGATCATCCGCGGGGACTGAATACTTTCGTGCGAATGTTTGAATACTCCTCTACTCGTCCGGGAACCCGTACAATGACCCAATCCACGACTAAGCGACGAAAATCTACCACCTTGCATAGCCAGTAGATCCTAACGGGCCGCTAATGTCCCAAATCTCCCTACGTCCTCGGGGGTCCATCCTAGCTATGTCCTATGTAGATACGGTAACAAGTGACAAGGCACCACTCCGTGACCAGATTGTTACGCCGTTAGCTGTAATGAATCGCAGCGGTCCAGCTTAAATGAGGTGCTACTATAATCATGAGAATGCAAATTCGGTGCCTGCCAGGAAACGTTGTTGATGCTATCAACACGTAGGCATGTGCCAAGTAAGGCATCTTTACCCGTGTAACTAAGAGAGCCCGGGTTGAAAGGAGCAGAATGCGGGCGAAAAGCGACAGCGATCATAACGTCAATCTCGCATCCCCTTCTCCTTAAGCTCTCCATTAAAATCACGAACACACGCTATAAGCAGAATTTGTATAAGTGGGATGTCATGAATACTAGTGTTACCAAGTGCCTAGACCCTAACAAGCAGCGGATACGATATCCACCTCGGCCATATCCACATCTATGTAGCAAGCAACGAGAAAGCCGATCACTCTCGTATAACCGACTTAGAGCAGCATAGCAGCCCGTTCCTCAACGACTAAGGAAGCGGTGATGTACCCACCACCGCCCCTGACTCCCAGCTTCTAGCAAAGCGACGGTGAGATGGCCGAGTGGTTATGGCGCTGCGTTCAGGTTAATCCTGAATATATCTATCTCTGTTTTCCATCTGGATAAACAGAAAATATCGCAGTGGAGCAATCCGCGTGGGTTCGAGTCCCACTCTCATCACTATTTGACTCTTACCAGTTCAATAGGTTGGCGTAGGGAAACTTTTTTTCTTCCTAATATTTTTCTTCGCTTATTCCTTTGACATCTCTTTGGGAGCTGACAGTGGCCTCCATATAACTCCTAATGCTACATAGCTAGTTGACAAGCGGGGCTTACTTTCTTCCCATTCGATTGTTCTAAAATGATATTGATCTTGTAAGAGTAGGTCCTACAAGCCTGTCTCGCTGTCGATTCTAGGAAAGTATACATTAAATAGAACTGCCCGCTAACTTCTCCATTTCACCTCTATCGTTTCTTTAGTATCGAATCAACATCAAATCCAACGCTTACACCGGCTGAGAAGCCTCCCCATGCCCTGAGCGCGTTTAGACTTGGCGTATCCTAACAAAACATAAAATCCTGCGTCACCCGGGGGATCTATAGAAGCCAGGAGAGTTTAATTGAAATTATTTCGGAGTTACGAGCAGACTTAGTGTACAAGTTAGACCATATCGGCAACCCCTGAGCTCTCGATCCCCTTCCAATAACACTACCTAGCTTTTATTGTTACGGGCCTAGTTATATGGTGGCTGCGGGCTTTTTCTCAATAGATACCTTACTTATTAATGCAAATAAGCAATCAGTTCACCATGGAAATGGGTACTATATAATGGTTGGACCAATGTTCCCCAAAGAGACGGATACACCATCTTCTAAGCTCCGTACCTAGGTAGTTATAAGTCCCATTCCTGGGAATGGTGTCCCAGCTGGAAAGCTTCCGGATATTATCAAAGACATATGAAGGGCTCCAATCTTGTTCGTGCTTATTAATCTAATCAGCTTCCAGTTAGCCAGCAAGTCTCATATCCCCTAGCCCCGAAACTGCCAAAGGGATGAATACAGACAAAACGATCAAACAAACCCTACGTACCCGGTACGTTTTGAGCCATTGGACGCTTATGCCACGCATCAAATTTGTCTCATTCTGAGAAGGTCATCACAGAACGGGTAAATGAGATCTCATAATAGTGTTTTTTTTGGCCTGTCTTCAAGAAATAAGAAGCCTCGCCTTGGGCTAATTCCCCCCCCTATTTCTACTCCTCGCACCCGATGAAATTTTGTCCAAATAACGAAAACAAGTGCGGTAGTTCGCACACAGAGCACAATGCGAGGATGGCAACTGGAAATATATCGTACAGGAGGTGTATACTGGCAAACCCTGCTCGTAATCACCGGAATTAATAACAATTCCATCGACACAATCCGCGTATCACCACCGCAAAATACTTGAAGCAAATGGCATTAACCGTGGACCAACGCCGGTTTTTCCTTGCTTTCCGCTGGGAAAAGCTATGAGGTTCAAATAGAGAAATCAAATAATTAGGCCGGCGCTGTTAAAACGTCAATCGTGGGTGGGAATCGCTAATAGCCTCCAAACCTTCCGAACCCCAAAATCATGCAAGTTCCTGAACGTCCAGCCCATGTGATGGTGCGTATAAAACAGCCGAGCCAAGATCGAACAACAGTACAGAATTCCGTATCCAGAGTCGACGCCTGTATGCTAGGTTTATTTCTTTCTCGAAACGTGGTTACTCGAAGGGCGGCGGGACGTCACGCTGGGTTGCCCTTCAAACGTTTTTGTAGCCGAGGCGTCGGTGGTTTCTTATTAGCCATTGGGACACCATTTACCTGAGCTCCTCCAATACTTGCGGGTGTCGGCGCACCGCTGTCCTCCTCGGCCTTAACGGTGGACGGCCTCCTCCGCTTGTTGCTCGCTGGACTTGTGTTGGCGCTAGGCCCGCTAGAGCTCGTCCCTTGTTGACTTTGCTGCAGTTGCATCCCCGGCGCTTGCATGTGTCCCTGAGCAGGGCTGCCTATGTGAGGCGAGTTTGGAAGCTGCAGATGCGTAGCTGCTGGTGAAGCGCCCATGGGGAATTGGCCGAAACTTGGCGTCCGCGGGTTCGGCGGGCCGTTGCCTTGGGGCTGACCGTTCACGATAGGTTGCTGTGGGGCGTTGGTAATATTCTGACTGACGTATTGCTCAAGCGCAGCGTAAGGGGACAAGCCCGGATGTGTATGGTAAAAGTTGAACAATGGCTGGACGTATTTGTAGATTAGTAACAAGACCGAGTCTGGAAGACCATTGAGAGAAATGTATCATGCTCTCACGCGTGTAACTCACATTCATTTGTCCAACGACTTCGATAATCTGGAATACCGCGTCAGTGGAAGTGTACATGGTAACAATGACGGTACGAGAAACTCATACCTCGAGAAATTGGAATACGGCTTCCGTTATGCCTATGTTCTGTTTGACCGCTGACTGGGGCAGGTCGATATCAGGGGGTGGATTTTGAGGCGACTTCATTGGTTTCGCCTTCCCCTTTTTACTCATCTCCGGGGATAATCGTGAATCTTGGCCGTTTACCTTGAGCCAATCCTTGACCCAATTATGTGCTGGTTTTGCCGCCTCAATCACCATTTTCCTCGAGTGATACTCCTCGTGGCCCTGCGTGATGAATTCTAATAGCTCCAATTTTTGTTCGCTGTCAAACTGGGCACGAAGAGTGCCAGTTGCGACGACCTGATTGCGCAGTTGTCAGAATCAAGTGACTTGACACCTAGCTGGCGCTGCAATTTGCAACACTTACGTGAGAATTGTCAAACCAGTAGGTCAAGCTTGCCTTCTGGTTCTCGATAAAATGGCAGCCATTTGGTAACGGTCTGTCAGTAATGCCCTTCTCCAAAGTCAAATTAATTCTCCTGACACCGCTCTCAAAGTGCGTGTGGAAATATCGTGCCAGAGCGGGCTGCGTTATCTCGTGCTGTTTGTCTGTATGCTCCTCGTTCGTCGGGTCAGTGCCAACATAAAATAGGGAGAGTCTAAAAACACCCCTAGGAGAGAAGAATTGCGCGACGAAGTTATTCCAGTACGATAAGTCGTCCTTCGTTCTTGAGCCCTGTCGAGTGTAGCAAGTTAGTAGCAGATTTCAGTCAAAAGGATAGCGGGAAAAAGGAGAGCGGGTAGAGGCAAGCTCGGTAGGTACTAACAGGATATCCGCTAAGATGTTCGCCAAATTGAAGTAGCTTTAATAGACAATGGCCCTTCAAGCCATCGTTCTTGTGCTGCTGTTGGTGTATCAATTGCTGCTGGATGTTATTCGGGAGTTGGAGATGTTGGCCTGGCTGTAATGGCTGAGCGGTAGGTGGCTGAGGTTGGTTCTGTTGACCATTCGATGGCTGCCCCTGACCCTGAGGTGGTTGCGGCTGATTGCCCTGCACCGGAGTTGGCCCTTGGTTCTGTGGCTGGTTCGGTTGCGCAACGGCCGGCGTCGGTGCTCTCTGTGGTCCCTGGGAACTCGGTTGGGGCTGCTGGCCTGGTTGTGGGCCTGGTTGTTGCTGTCCCGGTTGCTGCTGCGGCTGGGGTTGCTGTCCTTGCTGTTGTGGTTGCCCTTGAGGTTGAGGTTGAGGTCCTTGTCCCTGAGGGCCTTGCTGGGCTTGTTGCGCTGCCATCGACTGTGCTAATTGGGCCTGCTGCATCTGCAGTTGCTGAGGGGTCATCTGTCCAGGATGACCGGGTTGGTTACCTTGGTGCATCTGATTACTCGCCTGTTGCTGAGCTTGATGTTGTTGTTGCATTGCTAACTGATGAGCAAGCATTTGCTGTAAACAAGGGTTAGGTTAGCGTCGGAATAGAACCGGGGGAGTTGTGACGCGTAAAGGAAGATATATTACCTGGGCATGCTGGGGGTTTTGATGTTGTCCCTGCTGAGCAAGATGCGCCGGCTGGAGATGCTGTGGTAGACCGACTCTTTGCATATTCGCCGCGTTATTCCTCATCGCCTGAAACTGGGCTGCAGTCATATTCCCCATATTCGTTCCTTGCATATTCATGGGCATGCCGCCGCCATATATTTGTTGTTGGAGCATTACCTGTCTCTGGTGCTGCTGTAGCAGCCGCTGCTGCTGCATTTGTGCGATCATCTGGGGGTTTTGAGCTACTATGGGATCGCGGCTGATTAGCGAAGGACAAAAACATAGCTGACCCTATCGCCGTGCTAGGATGATGGTATCCGAGAAGGGCGACTAGGCCTCGGCTTGAACTTACAAAACTGTTGCTGTTGAAACATCTGCTGTTGGGGGCTCAGATGCTGTAGAGCGTGGGCGTTTGGGCCGGCGGCGCCAGGAGGCATACCTCCCATCATGGCTGCGGGATTGACCTGTCCACCTGGGCCGGATACCGCCATGTGGGCGGCCATCTGAGGAGGCATGCCCGGCTGGGCACCCGGTTGGCTTGGGTTATGAGCCATGCCCGGAGCACCCATGGGATGGCCCGGATGGACACCGGGGTGTTGCTGCATGCCTGGATGAAAACCAGCCGGTCCTATGCTTGCCATCATTTCTACTAGTGTCGACTATCCACGGCGTGGATATCGACGCCCAACCTTGGTCACTAGCTCATACGCTTTCGTTTCGTCTATGTTGTGGTCGCAGTGTCGATGCGATCGATGGGATCGACTTGGGTGGCTGGAAGTTTCGCTAACAACAGCGTCTCTTATTTAGGTATTTCTTCCCTCGTAAGGTAGACACGAACTCCTTCTCTTTCTACCTTTCTACCCTTCTAGCTAATAATACGACCCGATGCGACTTGACGTAATGCGATCGGCGATTGAAATATGTATACGCTTAATAGCTTCGATAGCGTCGCGTCGGCAATTACAGGGTTTTTGGCCTGAGTCTGGGCGTCGTGGATTGAGGTCGAAGATGCGTAGAGACATACAAGTGCGTAGGTGATTGTGATTGCGAGAGTGAAGAGGGAAGGCGAGGATTGGAGGTCTTATTTCTCTTCAATTTTGAGCTTAGGACGCGGTGGGATATTGAGTTTTTCGGGTGCGCGCCACAATGAAGGCACGGAAGCTGCAGTAGCTTCTTGGGTTTTGGTTTTGGTTTTGGTTTTGGTTTTGGTAAATTACGGGAGACATCCACCGCAAACTCACACCGGATCGGTCAGCTTCGTGTAA